CCCCCCCGGTGGGGCTAGAGGAGGGTCATCTTACCCTCATCCAGCCCTCATCCAAGTTTGTCATCTGTGTATGACATCTGTCTCTAGATCCAAGGAAAGGGAAACACAGGAAGCCCTGGGTCACCACACAGGTTCCTGAAGCCCCCGGACAAGTGTTTCCGAGCCCCCCACTGTCAGGACAGAGAGTGTGTTGACTGGGCTTCCACTCCGCTCCTGCAGCTTGACTCTGACCCCTGAAACACACTTTCCGTCACCTTCCTTTCTCACACACTTCGTAGCCGTTGGAGAAACATTTTCACCTTACTTCTGCCCATTGGAAATTGCGGTTCTTTTTAGGTTTTTGCTGTAGTCTAGGCTGGTGACCAGCGTTTCTAGTAGAGCTGTCTCAAAAACCCGCTGGGTTTCCTATGTATCCGTGTGCCAAAACATGCCCACCGTTCTTAGGCCGCTCTCCTGCCCAGCAGCAGAAGGCCTGCTCACAGAGGCCCTTGAGCCCTGCGCCTCATCCAGGGGAGACGTGCTGTTGCAGGTCCCACCTGCATCCCGATGGGGATTTCAACGAACAGACTTCGTACCCTCGTCGTCTTCTCTGAGGTCACTCCCCTGGAGGCCATCATCGCCCCCAGGTTTTTTCCTTCCTTTGAAAACCACTTGCTGACTGGAGGTGAGACTCTTGGTCTAGCCCAGCGCATTTCCGACGTTCTGGGCTCTATGCATTCTCTTTAGGAAACGGTCAGCTCTTTTTTGAGTTGGTCCCGGTCTTGTAACACTCTCGCAGGCATTTTGTAGGACACTTCCCCTGTTCTGCCTAGAATTCACCTCTCTGATCGCGTCCAAAATCCACCCGGTACATTTCCTACCTTCTCCGTAACAGCGGGTGAGTCTTACTGAATGTTTGCCGCTTTCCCGCCTCCACCTGCCTCTCAATCCAGCCTCCTCCTTCTAGACAACAGCTTTCACCCTGTTTCCAGATAGTAATATCAGATATTTGTTGTCACGATAATGCAGTATAACAAAATGTCGTACAGCCTTAGCCTCGGTGGACACAGCTGTTTCTCTTTTCTCTTCCCCTGATGGGAATCGGTTGCTTACTGTCTGGCAACTCTGCTGAACGTGGCTGTGCTCACTTAGCAGCCTGAGAGCCCTCTCCGGGGGGCTGGCCCAGGCTGGAACAGCCCAGCTCTGCTCCACATCTCTGTCACCCTTTGTGGGAGCAGCGGGTCGGGCCTTCTCTGGCAGGGGGTGAGGAGGCGCTGCTACGCTATCCACGTGTCGTCCCCAGACACTGCCTGTCTCGAGTCTGTCTGATGCACCCTCGGCCAAGCCCCATGACCGTGGGGCCTGTTGCCGGGGCAGGGAAGCTTACCCTGCCCTATCTGTGTAAGCAAGGGGACAGGGGTCGTGGCTACAGGGGCGCAGGGGGGAGGAGTGAGTTGGCGGTTTGGGGACACTGCTATAACCTACAGCAAGTTACCACACAGTGGGCAGGTGTGCAGTTGACGATCCTCCAGCCTCCATTAGGAGACTGTCCCGGGCCCCATGTGGGAAAGCGGTTCACAACCATTTTGTCCCCTAAAGGCAAACTTAGCATTTAGAGGAGCAGCTTTAAATTGGTCTGGAAAAAAAAGGTATTTGCTACAAATTAAAGCGTGTACTTGTCTCTCTGGGTGCTCCCTTGCCTTCGTCAGCCTGTGGCACCTGGGGTTTGCTTCTGCCCTTCCGTCACTTTGTCTATGCAGTGTCAGTCACCTCAGTGGCCCCCTAAATTCGAGACGAATCTGCCGGGTTAAGTATATTAGACGCTTCTTCACTGAAGTCCCAGCTCTAGACTGGGTGCTTGGGGGTGAGGTCGTGAACAGAAAGGACCGTGGCTCTTGGTTTGGCAGCTTAGGGTTTAATGGGGCTGCAGCTGGCTGAAGGATAAGTATGCACCTTGCTTAAGAAGTATGTGGTTAAAGACAAAGACAATGTATGAATTTGACTTTCGTGTCGAAAAGTGAGACTTGGCTCTCTGGTTTTTCTGGTTTTCACTTCTGCTGGCTGGTCTTAAAAAGAAAAAAAAAAGTAGCCAAAAGAGTGTCACATTTGGGCAGGGATATAATGGAAAAGCTAGTAGAACATTCCAGAATAGGGATTCTTACTCTGTTTCTACAGATCGCTCCTCCCAGGGGTCCATAAATAGATGTTAGGTTTTTGAACTTGGACGGGAAACAAGCTGCATCTTCATTTTCACTAACCTATACTGAAATCTGGTGTGCCCTTCAACTGTGTACTGTAAGTGTGTGCACTTAACACTGGAGGAAGTCACCCATCTTTTCATAGAGAGCTCAAAGTACCTTATGTTTTTATTCATTCATACAGAACTGGGGTACAGGCTAGAGGTGCAGGGGCGGTGAGAGGATTCACCAGAGACAAGTGGGGAGCAGAGTAGGCCGACTGAGAAGTACACTGCTGAGGGGAGCAGCGGGCGGGTCAGGAGAGGTCTGCCCGCCCTGTGAGTCACCTCCGGGGTGGGGATCGAACTCGTGCTGAAGTGGCTTTAGCTTCTCAGTGCTGGGCTTTAACTGGCTGAGCCACCAGGAAGTGGTGGCTCTTCTCTATTAGAGGGGTAATAGTCACTAGACCCGCCACTATTGTTACTTAATAGTTTAATAAAATACATGTTGCCATGTCATTCATTTTCTCTTTTAATATTTTAGTAATTATCTCACTACAATTCATTTCTTTTGTATTCCTATTGATTTTTTTCTTTCAGTTTAGTTTACTTTGTGCATGTAAACATTATTCCAAGAAATTGTGGGTTTCACAAAACTGTCAGAAGGGGGTTTGGTATCAAAAAGGGCTAAGAACCACATTGGAAGGTCAGAGGTCAGTGAATTTCCCTGTAAAGGGCCAGATAATAAATACTTCCCCTCTGGAGCTCCCCTTCACAGTGGCAGTAGATAAACAACATAGAACCAAGTGGATATGGCTGTGTTCCAATAAAACTTTATTTATAAAGGCAGAGTGGGGGCCAGATTTGGCCAGCTAATATTTATTATACCTTGCCCTAGAATTCAGTGCGCATTATTTGGTGTTATTAAGCCACGCAGAGCATTGTTTGGGTTGAAGCGCCTTGGTTTTTTAGAAGCTTGTTTCATTTGCTCCCCGCCACCTTTAATTGCATTGATCAAACAGTTTATGATGATGTCACCGACCTTATGCCAAAACAACAGGGAACAGCCCAGGCCTTTGAGCCTCTGGCCTAAGAAATGCGAACACGGGTCACGTGCGCGAATGATCAGGTGGTACCTAAGAATAGCAGCTCTGGAGTCCGCCTGGAGCCTGCCGCGCCCGGCCTGGTGACCGCAGGGGTCTTTCACATGAATAACAGGTTAATGACACTGATACTAGAACCGACCTCAGGAGAAGCGTGGGGCGTGAAATGAGCACAGCCAAAGAATGTTGAGTCTGCTG